TCACCGAGGCCTCTATGGCACCAAACCCATCACCACCATTGGCTGCCCTTTCGCCTGAATGTTACACGGGGGGAGACTGACCCCTGCAGTGGTCAGCCCAGCCCCCCCTCGCTTTCCCCGGAGCAGCCGTCCAGGTCCAGGAGCCCCCCTCCCCCGGAAAGGGCCAGAGGCGGGCGGTGAGGAGCCCCAACCCCGAGGTATTCCAGCCTCGGGCGGGGGCCCTTCGGAGCCGCCCCGCGGGAGAGGCGCCTCCATCTGCGCCTGAGACGGACGTGAGGCGCGGTGGGGGGAGGGGAGGTAGCGGCGGCGCTCCTGAGCATGTGCAGACTGCAGGCCCCTCCCGGACTACAGCTCCCGTCGAGGACCGCTACGCCGCCCCCTCCCCGGCGGAAGCGCCTCTCACCTGCTTCCCCAGCCGAGCAGCAGGGCGGCGACGCCGCCACCACGGCGTGACTGACCCGGCCAGGCCTCGCGTTTCTGCGCACGCGCGAAGAGGGAGGAGGGAGGGCGGAGGCGGTGGCGGCGATGGCGTTCAGGCTGGGCGCGCGGTCCGGCAGGCTGGGCCTCCCCTTTCGGGACCCCGAATGGCTTCCCAGGCCGGAGGAGCAGGCCGCGGACGGGGGGCCGCATGCGCGCTACTCCGGCCCGTCGGCAGGTGGCGCTGCGCAGGGCGGGAGCGGCGGCGTGGTGGACGTCCCTCGGGTGCCCCCCCTGCGGCCCGGCGGCTGGCAAGGCCGTGCCGGAAGCTCTGGGCCCGCCCACGGCCGGAAGCCGGAAGCGGCGGAGGCCGGTTCCCCCGGGCAATCGCGTCAAGGCGGCGGCGCCGGGCGGGGCGCGGGTGGCTCCGGCCCGAGGGTGGCCATGGGGAAGAAGAATGGCCTGCCGGACAGGTGAGAGGGGCAGCGGGAGGAGTGGGAGGAAGGAAGCTTCCCCGGGACAGCCCGTCCCCGTCCTGCTCAGCCGGGCGATGCCCTCCCCTCGAACTTAGTGGAGCAACGGCTCCGCTTAGCGACGGCGCTTCCTTCTTTTGCCTCGGTAGCTGCAGGAGGAATGGAGTCTGCCCGGTCCACACTGGATCTGTGAGACGTCCAAGATCGGGTTAAATTAGACGAGGGGTAACCAAACCTGGCCACTTGAAGACTGGTGGACTTCAACTCCCAGAATCCTACAGCCAGATTGCAGAGAAAGGGGTTACAAGAGAGTAAGTTATGCTGGCTGGGAAATTCTGGGAGTTGAAGTCCACAAGTCTTAAAGTTCGCAAATTTGAAGACCTTTGAATTAGACTTTAGACTACCTTTATCGTCCCTTTGAATGTGGGCTTAAGTTGATACCAAGTGGAGAACACAAATGGAAAGCAAAGTGCTGGTGCACTGCATAAACAGCCCAGTCTATTAACCATTCCTTCCTCTTCAGTGGATGCAAATACAAACAATCCCTTTCTTGCTATCTATTTCGGCCCATTCCAAAGGGTGGGAGGGGGAGGGAAAGGAAGGTGAATTAAAAGGATTAAGAGTCAAACAAAAGCCGAAGGGATAAAACTGATGAATCTTTTGTCGATGGCAGGGTGGACCTGCCAACCGGCTCTCCCTGCATTGTGTTGAGCATTCTGGGGGAATGGATTTCCCACTTAGCGACCACTTTACTTAGCAATAGTGTCGCTGGTCCCAATATTGGTTACTAAATAAGGACTGCTTGTAGTCCCTTGTCAGCCCATGGTGTGCTGCTAAGAGTTAAACTGAATGGAGATCCTGCATGGGCATCTTTGTGTGTGTGAGAAGATACCAGGAGGAGGAGGCGCCTCACTTCTCCCACTGGCATGGCCTGGAGTGTTTCTCAACAATTCTTCGGCATTACCACTTCCATCAACTGGAAGTGGTTTTCCTGAATCGGGTTTCCTTTGGAAATATGTCTACCTACTCAAAAAACAAAGGCAAAAATAATTTGGGGTAGTAAGAGATAATTTCAGGGAATAAAATCATTAGTTTGATTTCTCGTTTAAAATGAATGTTTAATAGCTGTTTTCTAAAAGTGCCTACATTTGAAATGTATTCAGTACCTCCAAAAAGTTCTCAGCTTCTGTGTTATCTTTCCTCACTGCAACTCTGTCCTAATCACATTGAAGTGAAAGCAACACATTGTGACATTTCCTTTCTAGATGGACTGATTATCGGCCTCTTGGAAAAAGAATTTCCGGGACCCGCTTTATTGCCTTTAAAGTTCCTCTTAAGAAGGTAAGTAAGGTGAAGAATGTAGTCATTCAATTGCTTTAACTTTTCAGTGCCTTTTTAAGATAAAAAATGTCACTTGGGGGCAGGTGATTTGCTGGCAGCATATCAGCAAATTGTAGATTTCATGTAGCTTTAACAAAGTATAGGTTTTTAAGATTTTTCCCCCAAAGGAAAGAAATATTTCAAAAGCAAATTTAATTTAGTGAATTTGTTAGCCACAGAGTAAAGTAGATTGAAGTGTCATAAAAGTAGTCTAAATACATTTATCTGGACATTGATGGACGCTATGGGTATTTTGGGTTCCATAGAGTAAATTCCAGCCTGAACATTGATAATATTAATTAGAGATAAGTTTTGGAGGCCAGTTTTTTGTTCATATTTATTGGCTACCCAAAGGAGGCGTCCAAGGCCTCCTTTTCTTGTCTCTAGGTCAGATCAATATGTTTGACATTCTGGCAGACCTCCCAGGTAACCAGACAGGAAACAGGATCTGATCGACTAATTTTATATTATTGTAAAGCTACATTAACAGAGTCTTGGACATCTGGGTACAGACTTTCCACCACCACTTTTAGCTGCTTGTTCCATTATAATGGGTCCTTCCCAAGTTTCTTTCCCTAACCCTTAAGTCAGGGTGTGGGGCGCTATCTATTTCCTAGGTAGCATATTTTGCCACCCTCTTTTCCCCCAATATAATTTACACACTCCATTACAAATTTCAACTTCAGTTGAAATGTCATTTGGGCAGAAAATATTTATTTATTTTCCATTGCTGTGATCTAGATTTCATTGCTTTAGTGGTAAATTGGACAATTAGGTTGAATTTGCTTTATAACAATTATCACTTAATGATGGAGTTCCCTTCCAAATTATGATTAACTGACGACTGTCTGTACTCAAATTGTACAAGGTTATGCAAATACAGCTGTGCTTGGCTTTTGATACTTATCCAAGTATCTTAACAATTTAGTAGCAGCAACGTTGAATATTTTTTTCCCCAGAGTTTTGAATGGAGGCTTGCCCCAGATGAGTATTTTTCTCCCTTAGACCTTATCACTCAAGTCGAAGAGCAAAATGAAGAACTTGGTTTGATCATTGATTTAACTTACACAACACACTATTATGAGCCAATGGTAAGTTTCCTTTAACAGGGATCAGTTCTGTGACCTTAATTCTTAATAACAGTCGTTGCTTTGGGATTACAAAGGCAATTTTGAGAAAAGGGTTTTTAAAATTGATTTCCTGCATATAATAATTAGTTTTGCCTGCTTTATTGAGCCGATTCATTTTTTCTTAAGTTGGCTGTTTGGATATTCATTTCAATTGTTTCAAATGCTTTACATTTTCTTTTAGGAGCTACCAGATACACTGCAATATTGTAAAATTTTAACAATGGGACACAAAGTACCTAATCACGCTATAGTTTCTAAATTCAAAAGCACTGTGAAAAAATTCCTCAGAGAGAACCAACATAATGGTAAGTCTGATTGGATGTGCAAATGTCTTGATTTAATAACAGAATTTTACATTAAACCCCAAGAATTCTATTCTTAAACCTGTTCGTGGACCTTCTCAAAGCAGTCTGCCCATAAATACTACTGCCTCTTGCAATACATGAAAAAAAATCAGATACATATTTGTTCATGTATAAAAGCAGCTAAAAATTAAAATTATCTCTGTGGTGGGGCTTTTTAAAGACACCATTTGCATTTCCTATCTCCCCAGACAAACTTATTGGCGTCCACTGTACACATGGCTTGAATCGAACAGGTTACCTTGTTTGCAGGTAAATTTTTCTAAAAAGCAAAGGTGATTCTGCTGGTCTGTTTTGAATATTCATATCTACTGCAGAAATATCACTTTATGTCTATGTTCAGTTGATAGATTGTTATTTACAACTGGATTGTAACTCAGTTAATTATAATTCCTCTAGAAATGTTAGTTTCTATTAGTCTTAATACTATGGAAGGACAAAGAAAGGAAGGATGGGAGAAAATGACAATTTTTTTTACTGTGTTTCCCCCCAAAAATAAGACAGAGTCTTATTTTGTTTTGACCCCCAAAATAAACGCTTGGCCTTATTTTCGGGAGGTCTTATTATTTTTCAGGTGCAGGAGGCAGCGAGCATGGTCACTTCATGGCTGCTGCTGTGTTGCTATATTTTTGGGGAGGGCTTATTTTAGTGCATGTGCTCAAAAGCCCGATTGGGCTTATTGTCCGGCGAGGTCTTATTTTCAGAGAAACAGGGTATTTAGAAAAGTAATATGTCTAATTTTTCTGTTTCTGTTGGTTTTTAATGCACAGTAAATATTCAACTGTTGTAATGCAATTAATGCATTTTTAAAACTGAACCAATTCTTTAAAAAGTGTTGAGACCTCATTTCCATGGAGTAATGTGGGATGATGCTGTTTGCGCTCATTTATCTCATTTGCGTAATTGCATCATTGCACAAATATTAAGTGACAAACTGTATAAAGCCTCATTTAATTGAATTTACATCGTGCATATGATATAAATCTGAGAGTGAATTTATTTTCTTTTTGGTCTGTTGCATTGAAGTCTACTAAATGAGCTTCACTGTGTCATAATTTTTTCTTATGTTTTCTTCTTTTCTTATGTATTGTTGTGTTAAGATACCTTATTGATGTTGAAGGAATGGATCCAAACATGGCAATAGAATGTAAGTATTGTGCCCTTAATTGAGAGCACTCTAGTTCAACTCTTCATTGCCTATACTAACCATCAGGATAGATAAAATAGCAGATAGCGAATAAATGTAACAATTTGCATAGCCAAAAAAAGAAAGACAAAAAGCATTAAACGCTAACAAATGAGCACTGTGAATTAAGATAATTTCTAGTCTTATTGGAATAGTGGGATTATGGGATATGATAACCAAAAAGTAGCTGTTAATTGCAGGCATATTTTACATGAGGGGGGGGCATTTTAAAGTTCTGATTAGACAAAATATACAGTATTGGTGATTTAATTCATCAGATTATCTAGAAAGAAAGCATCTTTGTGACTGCTTCAGGTTAAACTTTTTTAAATTAAAGGATTTCATAACTTGTAAAAATACATGAAATTTGAATTGCACTGATAAAGGGCCCGCAGTGCTTTTTCTAAAGATTTATTTTTCCTGTTGAACATAGCGTACATTGCATTGCTAATACTGGATTGACGGTAGACTCCACTGCGCTTTCCAGTAGGGACTGCCATGTTACCTAGAATGTTTCATTGACAGAATGAGAAGTTTTGCATAAAATTATGACAGTAATGATGAAGTTTCCATGGAAAACTATCTTGATCTCCCCACTGCAAATATAGGTGTTTCCCTCAGGAACTAATGCCCTCCCTCTCAGAAAATTACTTGTGGGGATAGAGCAGTTTATTTTATAGAGAATCGCCAAGATTCTCTGGAATTAAATTTTAAAAATCAGATATGCTGCTTTGTGCTTTAATGAAAATAGCATGGGTAGAAATAACACATGCAATGGGGCACACTGAACATCAAAGCTGGTTTTCCCTTTCATAGTATTCAACAGATGCAGGGGACATTCTATAGAGAGGAAGAACTATATTTCTGCTCTCCAGAAAACATCTGGAAGAAGGTAATTCTCTTTTCCAGGGTGACTTGCTGAAATGCAGCATTTCAACCTTTTTTTTGCATTTTGTACAATTGAATTCCTGCCTGCGAAATGGTGTCCCGTAGTTGCTGGTTCTTGCATATTATCTTATAAGCAACATACAAACGTATCCCTCCCTCACTACAAATTATTTGACCAACAACACACCATTGTATACATACAAAGTTCATGTATGTTGACATCCCCAATTGCCATACTGTAATCACATTTCCTACACATGGTTTAATGTCCCACCAGGACATTAATCCAGGGAACAAGACCCCTCCCCATTTTATCCAAATTGATTAGACAACCTTCATTTGGTTCTCTTACTTCATTTCTGTTTCTTGTAGTTTCCCAAAAACATAATGCATCCATTTTTCCCCTCCATTTATTTCATTCGTTAATCCATGCCCTTTACCACTGTTAGCTGTTCCAGGTAAACCAGACAGGAAACAGGATTTAGATCAGGGGTATCCAAATTTGGAAAATGTAAGACTTGTGGACTTCATCTCCTAGAATTACCCAGCCAGCCATGCTGGCTGAGGAATTCTGGAAGTTGAAGTCCACAAGTCTTAAAGTTCCCAAGTTCCCTGATTTAGATGAACAAATTCTACTTTATTGTAAGGCTACATGAACAGAGTCTTGCAAATCACATTCCCGCAGTCACTTTTAATCACCGGAGGCAATAGGGCAGGTTCTTAGTTTCTTTCTCTACCATTAAGCCATCTGGGGTTCTTCCCTGTCTTATCTGATTGTTCCCTAAGCAGTATTTCTTTCCTTGTTCCCCCAAGATAACTATCCACACACTCCATTACAACCAGTGACAACTCTTATGTTCGGAGTCACAGTTGCCATGGTCATCCCCAAATCACCTTAGATACCAGCTTCCACTGTTCATCATGGCTTCCCTCAACCAAGGCTTTCACATAATGCTTATGGTAAAAGGAAGGCAGAGACTAATTCCTGGTTAGAGATAAACACAACCCAACGTAGGTTGGTCAGCTTCAGCACAATTTGCATGACTTCTGCAATGCAACCGAAGTCCAGTTTTACACTGTGTTTTTTTTCCTGTTCTGGGCAAACTAGAACTCTGCTATAGCAGAGACTCCCTGCAAGCCAAAAGACTACGGCTAGCATCCCACCACCTAGAAGCTATTGACAGATACTCTGGACCTCTGAAAGCAATATTTTAAATAACCTATTTCCTGATCTTTTTTCTAAAGGAACCATCATTATATGGATGTTTCACAAAGGGATTGGATGAAAGGGCATGTTGATTATACCCCAAGTCCTGACTATGAAGTTGCCTACTATGGACCACAAAACTGGGAACACCCTCCAAGGTTTTCCTTCTTTTTTTCTTTCTTTCCATTGATTCAATATAATTAAGTGAAAATAGAACCTTCTGAGGTTCTGGATATAAAAATAGGAAAGATTGGAGTAAATGTTGGCAGGTGCTCAAGTAACTTCTAGCAGCATCTTATTCCCTCCCTGGTCCCCAGAGCAGTGTTGAGCCCTTCGGGCTGTGTCTTTCTTAAGAAACCTTGGTTTTGTTCTCCAGAGGGACTGGAAGCTCTTTGGTCCCCTGCCTGTTCTTCCTACCTCTAGGACCTACTTTCCCCAGGAAGCATTTGGATAGCAGAAGGATCAGTCTGGTCCAATTTAATATCTTCTTCCCACAAGTCCCTTGATCCGGATCACTCGGCTGACTGAGGAGGAGGAGGCACAGTGGCTGAGTATGTTGGTTAAGGAGCCAGATTGTGGGAGGAGCACTGTTTACAAAAAGTAGGCCACTGTTGCTGTTTTGTGGATGGAAAGATTAACATTCTTCCTTTGGCTTTTTTAAATTGCTACAAATTGTGCACAATCTTTATCTTGCCAACTATGTCTCCTGGTAGATGGTTTGTTTCTGACCTATTGAGATATATGAGATCGGTGAATAGATCTTCATGTTTACAACAGTAACCCCAGACTTGAAATCATTGGGTTGTCACATTAATTTATATTATATTGTAAGCATTATTATAATACATTATAAACATGGTTTACTGAATAAGTCACAGTTGTCTTCACCTTCATACTATGGATAGATGGGCATTGCTTGTAACAACCATTGCAACCAGTTCAGTTTGTCACAATATCCTATACAGGCACAGCTACTGTTTTTACTGTTTATTAATTTTTTATGCTGCACATCTTCCCTATGAAGTTGCTCTGGACAGCTTAGTTACCAAGCGTATTTTCCTAAATTGCATCTTAACACTTATCACTTAGCCTTTATGCTATAAAGTCCGCACCCACATTCTGGTGCTATCAGTGTTTCTTATCAGTGGAAAACAAAAGAAAGGAGGGGCTCACGGCCACTGCAAGCCTTTCCTTCCACAAACACTCCTGTTATTTGTGCATCAGCAGTTTTTGCCTTCTTTCTGTTTCAGGAATTTTCCATTTAGGAGAGGTGGACGAAGCCAAAAAAGGTAAATTGCAGAGGATCCATGGAATGTCTGCAGATAAAGCGTGTATTCTGGCTGCTGTTAGATGAAGAGGACATCTGTTCCAGGGATGGTCATCTACTTGCAATAGGCAGTCATAAATTGCCCTGATGAATTATGTAATTTAAAGCTGCATTGTTATCTTGATTTTGCATAATTATTTGTAGAATAAGGATTTGGGTTTCTAGTATCCTTTTTTGACAATGCTTAGGTTTGAGAGAAAGTATAATTCCTGGAACAAATTTTGTTCCAAATTTTCATGGACTAATTTTAAAGTAAATAGTCGATTTTATACTTATCCATTAGCCGTGGTGGCTCAGTGGTTAGATTGCAATATTCCAGGCTGACTCTGCTCGCTGTCAGGAGTTTGATCCTGACTGGCTCAAGGTTGACTCAGCCTTCCATCCTTCTGAGGTTGGTAAAATGAGAACCCAGATGGTTGGGGGCAAAGATGCTGACTCTGTAAGCTGCTTAGAGAGGGCTGTAAAGCAACGTGAAGCAGTATATAAGGCTAAGGGCTAATTATCTAGCAGGCTGTCAGAATGTCTCACAACAGGCTCCCTAGTGGTTAACCAAGTTCGAGGAAGTGGTAAAGTGCAACAAAACAACTGTATACTTTTGTATATGCTGTGTTGTTATTGTCCATTAAGAAGAGCTGGCTCCTGGTGACTATAGGAATAGGATCTTGTTTGAAGTGGTTTGTCAGTACTTTCTTACTAGGGTGAGCACCAATCATCAGCCAGCGCCCCCCCCCCCCCTCATGCTTAAGGCAGGACTAGAACTCACGGCTTCTAATCTGGCACCTTAACCACTGGACCAAACTGGCTCTGTTATATTAATATGCAAATTACAGCAAGAGCTGCTGTACTTTTAATTGTTGCTGCTTCCCTGAATAAAAGTATAGTAGTATAAAAAGAACTTTGAGATGAATCTGGAATGATTTGTGGGTGGAGTGGAGATTACCCTGTAACTAAAACTATCAAGCCTTAATAGAGCCTTGGCATTTACCAATAATTATTGGCAACATTTTTAACCGTTTTAACGTTTAAACAGCAGGAGGTTCATCCACTACAATTTGAACCATTATGTTCTAAAGCTTACGTTGTGGGCCAAAGGTTAGTAGCACAAGTTCTTCAGGATCAGTTTCTCTGCCCTGAAATCTGACGCTTTTTATTTAAGGAAACATTCTCAAATCTGGAGCCAGAATCTCATCACCTGTTACAGCAAAGGGAGCCAAGCTTACAGTCCACAATATCCCCCTTCAGCCAACATCGTGCATCAGGGATCAGATCATAATGTCAGGCCCAGCAATAGGCCGTTCTTCTCCCAGGAACAGTTTCAAGGATATCAAGGACCCTCTTTTCAAGAACTAAATCCTCATGGCTCACTGCTACAACAACATAGAAATCAAATAGACAATCAGCACTATTGGATCCCTTAATCATGAAAAAGTATTTGGCAAGAAAAGATAATTTGTGGAATTGACCATGACAGTAAATTACACCATTGCTGTTTAAATAGAATGCTTTCTAGCTGCATCCAATTTTACAGTTGCCACCTCATCATTTAGTTGCCATTTTGGAAGAAGAAAAGAAGGCAACTGGAAACCTGATAAACACATTTCCAACAGAAGGATTCTGTTAAGGAAAGCATATTCAATTAAGTATCCCAAAATGTTTTCTTCCTACATCACTTGAGGAAAACAGACTTTTTAAAAAGATTTTCTGTAAATCATCCTTATATATTACTCTAGATATTAAATAAAATTTATTGTTCCACAATAGTATACAGTGTAGTAAAAATGTTTTCACAAGGAAACTGGTTTTGTACTTTCGAAGTTGATTTTTAACTTTACAGATGTATGAGGTTCAAGTTTGCAAAAGACATTCAAAGCCACAGTTGTAATTTGGAAAAAAATTCTCAGTTCTTTTGCATTAGTTATGTGGTCTAGTACTTAATCCAAAACATGAGAGGCATCAGGCTGCTAATCCCTAATCACATTGGTAAGCACTATAGGGGTAGCTCTCTTGAAACCAGAAATACTATTCTTGAATTAATCATGAACTGCTATATGTAATTGAAATACAATAGATGGAATTATGAGATGCATTTTCTGCTGGGAGAAAAGGAATGTGCTTAAGATTTAGAACTTGTGAGCTGGAAAAAGCACTAGCTGAAATATAATGCTATTAAAATAACATTTCCAGCCCTTAATTATGGTAGAATACATTGTAATAGACAAACACTGAAATAGTTCTTTATCTTTCAGGAGATAAATGACAAGCATCCTGTTTCCCAAATATACTCCTGCCTGATCCTCACCTCACAGAGCAAAAATAGTTTATCTTGCAGTTAGGAAATGTTAAATGCAACAATCATTCAGCAGTAACGGTCCAATTATTGAGGGAAAAATTTCTATATTCCAGCTGCAAGATTCTGATAAACTATTAATGGTTTGTAAATTAATAGTTTAAAAGAGAATAAAATACAAAAAAGCCCATGTTAGTTAGCAAGTACAATATTACAAAGTCCATGTTTGGCGGGCCTCACTAGGATGACTAAAAATATCACCTAATAGCTGAATTGGCAGATAAATTTTTTAAATGTTATCTAAAATGAAATTTTAACACATGCATTTCTTGAGACCAGGAAAGTCTGAAGATTCCAGCTACATATTTTTCACAGCTTGGAATCCTGTATCGCTTGGGCCCATGGACAAATCAAATTCCTTTATCTGAATTCCCTTATAGGTGGGTCCAACATTATGTCAGCTGCTCTGCAAGCATGCAAAAGCAGGCAAACGTTTTGAAATCAGTAATTTGAATAAGAGGAGCAATTTAGATCAATTTTCCTATTTTTGGATTTCTATTTCCTACTGTAATAACGCTCCTTGGGGACTGAAATATGGGATGAGCTTGTCTTCCTTAACTAATGCTTTGTTTAGCAAAGTTCACGATGGTGCTGAAAAAGTAACTTCAACCATCCTCTGGAGATTCTCCGCCCTCCAGGTCCTGGTTGTCCCAAAGGTGCTTTTTCAGGAGGCAACTGCACTTTCTGTTTTTTTCTTTTTCTTTTGAAGATGTTTCACTTCTCCAAGAAGCTTCTTCAGCTCTGACAGTAGTGATAGTGGGAAATGGAAGGATTTCTAGTCCTTGCAGACAGCCCGTCATTTGCATTATTTTAGTGAGGCCACTTGGAAGTTTATCTGTATCCTTAGGGTCTACTGAGTGGTGCAGATGGTTCTTGTAGTCTGCAATTTTTCTGGAAATCTATTCATACTCCCACATCATTCCATGGGTGTTGATCCCAAATTGCATAGCTAAAAATCTGTAGAGATTCTCCGCTCTCCAGGTCCTGGCTGTCCCAAAGGGACTTTTTCAGGAGGCATCTGGACTTTCTGGTTTTTTTCTTTTGAAGACGTTTCGCTTCTCCTCCAAAAAGCTTATTCAGCTCTGATTGGATGGTGGGAGGATTGTATTGGCTTTCCCTCGAAGCCTCCTCGGAAAGAAGGAAGGGAGCCATCCGCCCTTTGTGAGGGCTTTTGGGAAAAGTTCGCCAAACCCGCCCGCCAGCCGCCCCGCCCCCCCGCAACCTCCACGAAGCCTCAGCCAGGGAGCGCAGCCAACCCTCCGGCACTCACAAACTTCCGGGTTCGCCTTCTTAAGCGGAAGCTCCTCGACTTCCGCCTCCCCCCATCTCAGTGTCCGAGCTGCTGGCCTAGAGAAGCCGGAAGCTACTCTCGAGCGGTTCGGTTGCGGCCCGTTGCCAGCCGGGAACTCCTGTGCAGGTCGGTGGGCGGGAAGCGGGTGGGCTGTCGCCTTCCCTCCCGCGGCCCCAGCACCGCAGGCAGGCAGGGCTGTCCCGAGCGGCCTGTAGGGCAGCGGGGGCGGGCGGAAGGCACCCCGGGGAGGAAGAGAACAGAGTGGCAAAGGGGCCTTGGAGGTCTTCTAGTCCAGCCCCCTGCTCAGGCAGGAGAGGCTTCGGACAAGGGACTGTCCAGTCTCCTCTCTACGAAATCTCCAGCGATGGAGCTCCCGCCACTTCTGGAGGGAGGCTCTTCCTCTGGTCAATCGTTCCCTTGGAGAGAGCTCTGTCACCAGATTTCTTTTTAATGTGTGCTGATTAGGGTACATTCAAAGTGACAATTAAGTGTTCTATTCTTATTCTATTCTTCATTCCAACATTTATTCTATTCTTATTCTACTCTACTCTACTTCCTATTCTATTCCATTCCATTCCATATTTCTTTTCTATTCTATTCTTCTCACTGTTAGGAAGTTTCTCCTCTGTTGCTTCTCCCCTTGATTAGTTTCCATCCATTGTTTCCGTTCTTGCCTTTGGAAAGTAAATTTACACCCCTCCCCCTTCTTTGTGGCAGCCCCTGAAATCCTGGAAGGCTGCTCTCATGCCACTCCTGGTCCTTCTGCAAGCATTCTTGGTAGGTTTTAGAGGGGATTTCCCTGAGGGGGAGGACAAATGGGATGCAGCTCCTTCCTGCCCTGGTCAAAACTGACCAGAAAACGCTCAGCTTGCAATGTAAATCATGGTTTACTCCGTTAACCCCATTTGGGGAACCACGCATTTTGGGCTGGATTCAGAACAAACACCAGACTTTGCATGTGTGCCTTTTCCAACCCCACGTGGAATATGGTATGGTATGGTATGGTACTTAGGAAGCTGTGGGTGCTCCATCACTAGAGATTTTCAAGAAGAGACTGGGCAGCCCTGAGTCCAGAATGATGTAGGGTCTCCTGCTTCACCTGGGGCTTCGACTAGAAGACCTTTAGTTTCCTTCTAACTCTTTTATTCTGTGTTCTTTAATCAGAGCCGGCATGAAATGGGCAAGGTGCAGAAGGCCTTTCCCCCACAATTTCCTAAGCAGGAGACTGTGTTTAGCCTTCCTTGAGACCTAAAGCATGAAGTATAAGAGTACAAAGCATAATACCCTACCAGTCCTTGAAACAAAATTCTTTTGTGGAACTTCAGTAGGAGCAGATCTCATGAATAATAGGATTGCCCGCCTCTGTAGTTTGTCGATTATTTATTTATCAAATCTATACACTGACCAACTCACTAAGTGAGTGAATTGGATTAGATGATGAAGGATGTGCTTTGCATCTATGTGCTGAAAGAGCATGTGTCAACTAAAGTTTTCCTACTGAAAATTGCATTAAGTAGGACTAGGTTGCCATTGTCTGCTTTCAGAGATAAGGCTGATAGGGAAAAATATTCTTTAATATCATGTGTGTTGAAACAAGCTAAAGCTAGAGCCTCAAGCTTTGGATTCAAATACAAATTTTCCTCATTCATTTGTTATTCAAGGTTATACATATACATATATGTGTGTGTGTGTGTGTGTGTGTGTGTGTGTGTGTGTGTATATATGATATCATTCAGATCGTATTAATTTTTCTTGCAGATTAAACCTATATGCCTGACCATGCGGATATCAGCCTGCCCCCAGAGGAACGGGTCAGAGGTCTTATTCATATGGGGAGTTGTGTGGATGTGAATGAAGATGTTCCACCACGAAGATACTACCGTTCAGGTGTTGAAATTATCCGGATGGCAACTATTTATTCTGAAGAAGGCAACATCGAACGTGCCTTTATATTGTACAACAAATACATTACGTAAGAAATAAGCATTGCTCAATCATAAACCTCTATTCTGACAGAGCAATAGAATATCTTTGTGTTGCAAATTAGCTAGACATGTTGGAATTTGTAACAGATGTGACTAAACTTCTTACTTATCTATAGCCTGAATGAGTTTGTCAGTTTTTGCCTTGGCTTTTGGATCATCTAATTAAAACACATAAGAGACCAAAATTACAATTTCTCCAAAGTATTTTTCTCAGTTGAGTTTTAACTTGATGAATAATTGCCCCATCCCTGATTTAGGAAATTAATAAAATCGTCATAGTCATATTTGAGCAAGGCCACCCTCACTAAGGAAGAATATTTCATGTAAATGGTAAAATACCAAAACTTTCCACCATTTTCCCAACATTTTTTTTTCCAGATTAGCCATTGACTTCTAATCCTGTTGCTTTTTCTATTTTTATGATGTTATTGAAAGGTACAAGTGAAAAGCTTCTTCATTTATCAAATTTTATTTATTCAAGCTTGAGAAAAATACTTATTCAGATTATTTTGCTTGTTCTGACAACCCTTATATGTCAATGTCCTAATTGAAAATTGTTTTACAGAATTTACAGTAGCCTGAGAGTAAGAAATGAGTGGAATAAAGAGTTAGAGGGTCTTGTATTGTCTAAACCAGGGGTCTCCAAATTTGGCAAGTTTTAAGACTTGTGGACTTCAACTCAGCATAGCTGGCTGGAGAATTCTGGGAGTTGAAGTCCACAAGTCTTAAAGTTGCCAAGTTTGAAGGCCTCTGATATAAACAGTGGGCGTCTTAATTTCTATAGCAAGAGTGTTAGTGGTCCTCATAAATGTAGTGCGTATGTGTGTGATTGCATTAAACAAATAGCTATAGAATTGCAACTTTGTTATAATGACATTTTTGTTGTATTTCTTTCAGTTTTGTTACATAACTTTTTAATCTGTCCCAGACTTTTCTTAGAGAAACTCCCCAAACATCGTGAATATAAAACTGCAATCATTCCAGAGAAGAGAGACACAGTGAAAGTAAGTGATGTGAAAGAAAGGGTGTATGGAGGGTCGAAGGGTGTATGGGGGGTATTATTGACAAGAGGAATGGCGGTGTTTATTGTTTAATGTTATATGGTGCAGGTTCTGTACAGTATATGTGTGACTGTAC